CAAGACTAGGTCTTTTTTGGTTGCTGTCCTTAACCAATGGGAAGAGAAAGTACAAATGGACTCTCCATATGATTCTATAATGGAGAGGGAGTGTGGCCAAATTGTTAAGTCTGCTGTTCTCGTTGTTCTGCGTAAAGCTCATGTTTCTGTGGAAAGCTGCATCTCACCCTCTGGTCCACAACGCTCAACTGGAATTTAAAGTTACGAATCAGATCTAGTTGGAATCTGATAGAATTAATTCCATGAGAATTAGATGGGTGCTGATACTCTTTCTCAGAAAGCTACAGTGGCGCTAGAAGCTGAGTCAGGAGGCTAGGGGGTGATGTGTCTACCTGATAGGCAATATTTTCCAGTGGATAACCTTCCATTACCAAGCTCTGCCTCACTTCTAATGGGTCAACCACAGGCTTTCATGAGCTCAGCAAAGTGCTCTGTGTTCTAAAGAAGGCTGTAATCCAAGCTTTCCCTTTTGGCTAAAACTGAAATAACAGGAACTTCCCTACCCACCTCTATCTGCCTCAGGTAGTTGAGACTTTGGAAATGAGTTGATTGTTTTTCAGTCTTTAGGAGATTCTTCTCTCCCTTTCACCCAACCCTGTCCAAAATAAACACAAACTGGGTCTGCTGGAGTCTACAGAGACATAACCCTGGATGCATTGACTTTGGCTAGTCTCTGCCTGCCTGAGAGATGACTCAGATGCCCCTGCCCCGAATAACAGAGCCCCAGCAGAAAGCTCCCCTAATAGGCCTCTGCTGGGTAATGGGATCAGGGAGTGGTGTGTGTGTATCAATGTTATGAGGTGTTTTGCAGTCTAGCCCAACTATCGAACCAGAGGAACTGAAACCTTAGCACCTAGAACAAAGCCAGGCAAGTGGTGGGAACTCAATAAATACATAGTTGAGGGGACTTCAAAAAGTTCTTGGGAAAATGGAATTAAAAGATAATGGGATTTTTCCACAAGTTTTTTTTTTTTTTTTTAAATACACCCCTCACATTTTTAGAATAACTGAGTGCACGTCATACGATCCCAGTTTGCAGGTCAAGTGTCATTATGCTTTCTCCCTGCAAATGTTCCCTTGATGCTCTGCCTAAATGCCAGGGTATCTTCCTTTGGGTCTTACAATTCCATCCCACTACTAATTTGTGGCGCTGTGGGTTAATGCGCCAGACTGTAAAGCCATTTGAACTGCAAGGTTGGTGCATCAAGCTCACCAGCTGCTCCTTGGAAACCCTATACAGGGTCGCTATGGGTCGGAATCGACTCAACGGCACTTAACAACAACAACTATTTTTTGGACTGGTCTTAGTTCAGAGGGCTGTGAGGGTAAAGAAAATCTGACTTATCAATTACCAAATACAGAGGAGTTAAGCGGGTATGGACCTGGGTTCATCCTGGTGGTGGATGGTGGTGGATATGTGCGGTGGGGTCGGTGCTGACTCATAGTGACCCTGAATAGGATTTCCAAGACTGTAAATCTTTACGGGAGCAGAAAGCCTTATCTTTCTCCCATGGAAGAGCTGGTAGTTTTGAATTGCTGGCCTTGAGGTTAGCAGTCCGACTTGTAACTACTACGCTACCAGAGCTCCTTGGGTTCATATATTTAATACCTTTTGATATTAAAGAAGATGTTAGCTTCTCTCAGCCTCAACTTCTCATTATAAATGGCTCATAGTATTCATCTCAGAGTCCTGGTGTGCTGTGGGATAAGCACTGGATTGTAAACCACAAGGTTGGCAGTTCAAACCCACCAGCCACTTCTTGGAAACCCTATACAGCATCACTATGAGTTGGAACCGACTCAATGGCACTTAACAACATTCATTTCAAAGGACTATAGTGAAAATTGAACACACAGTATCAAGGACATATTTGGAGCCTTAATAAATGATTTATGATAATAACTGCTACCATGTACTGACTTTATGCCAGGTATTACTCTAAGTGCTGGAGACAAAGGAGTGAA